GGCCAAAAATATAATTTTGAAGAAAAAATCCTACAGTGACACATTCAGTGTGAGATCATTTATGTGGACTTAAAGCACATAATAAAACAATCTCTGAAAACAGAGATTGGATGGTTACACACACCAAATTTTAATAAAGGTATAAGTTGGACTAGAAGCAGAACAAAGGTATTTATAATATTTTAATTATTTTAAAATAGCTGATGCAAAAATGACAAAGATCAGCATTTATTTATTTTAGATGGTTGATCACACATATTTGAATATTATTTTCTAAGTCTCTGTAGTTTCAAGCATTTCAAAATCTAAAGAATAGCAATTTTTAAAAGCTATAAAAATATGAATAAAGGATTAGAAAGCAGAAACTCTTAATTAATATGCTGGATTCTGAGACAACTTTAAACTCAACAGTAGTATTTACCATGGTGTCAAATTTAGCATTTATCTTGAGTTCACAAACTGAGTTCACTAATTTTGTCTCCGTTTTTCAAATTTCTAGCATTTACAGACTACTATAACAACTATACTCTTTTAGGCTAAGTGTTGGAAGATAGTAATAGATTTCTGGCTGTGTGACTAAAGAAATCTTACTTTACTAACATAACTCCAAGATCACTATTCAAGCTCATCACTCTCACTGTCCCTTCATGTGGTCATCGTGCCCATCTATGAGGTGTCCAAAGCCAAAAGCCCATCCCTATTTAGAATTTGGCTCCCATGACTGTATTTTCCATTTGGTTTGTCTATTACCCTGGCCATTATTTACACACTAAGGTTCATTCTTTGAGTTCATGCAAGAACAGTTTCTGGGGTCTTTAAATTTTACGAAGGAACTTACGACATTCTGCTCAACTGTAAGGATACACACAATTAATACACCTGAAAGCTCCCCTCCCTTTCTTAACAAGATTGTGCTGACTACTTTTATCTGATAAAGAGGATCACTCTACAAATAATATTTGTCTCAAATGATGACTCACCTCTGGATAAAGATGGAAGCGTTTTACTGTATTAATTACAAGAGGATATTCAGTAAGCCTGTCATTCATAATCATCCACAGTCCTTCCAAAAATGAAGGTGCTTCAATAATGGTCTTGAAGTAGGAATAATAAAGT